CATTTAGTCCATTTACATTTAAGGTTAATATTGTTATGTGTGAACTTGTTCCTGTCATTATGGTATTAGCTGGTTATTTTGCTCGCTAGTTGATGCAGTTTCTTCCTAGCATCAATGGACTTTACATTTTGACATGTTTTTGCGATGGCTGGTACCAGTTGTTCCTTTTCATGTTTGGTGCTTCCTTCAGGATTTCTTGTAGGGCAGGCCTGGTGGTGACAAAATCTCTAAGCATTTGCTTGTCTGTAAAGGATTTTATTTCTCCTTCACTTATGAAACTTAGTCTGGCTGGATATGAAATTCTGGGTTGAAAATTCTTTTCTTTAAGAATGTTGAATATTGGCCCCCACTCTCTTCTGGCTTGGAGAGTTTCTGCCGAGAGATCTGCTGTTAGTCTGATGGGCTTCCCTTTGTGTGTAACCCGACCTTTCTCTCTGGCTGCCCTTAACATTTTTTCCTTCATTTCACCTTTAGTGAATCTGACAATTATGTGTCTTGGAGTTGCTCTTCTCGAGGAGTGTCTTTGTGGTGTTCTCTGTATTTCCTGAAGTTGAATGTTGGCCTGCCTTACTAGGTTGGGGAAGTTCTCCTGGATGATATCCTGCAGAGTGTTTTCCAACTTGGTTCCATTTTCCCCGTCACTTTCAGGCACACCAATCAGATGTAGATTTGGTCTTTTCACATAATCCCATATTTCTTGGAGGCTTTGTTCATTTCTTTTTCCTCTTTTTTCTCTAACTTCTCTTCTCGCTTCATTTCATTCATTTGATCTTCAATCGCTGATACTCTTTCTTCCAGTTGATCGAGTCGGTTACTGAAGCTTGTGCATTTGTCACGTAGTTCTCATGTTATGGTTTTCATCAGTGGTTCTCTGTCAGTTCTTTTAAGGTCTTCTCTGCATTGATTATTCTAGTTATCCATTCATCCATTCTTTTTTCAAGGTTTTTAGTTACTTTGTGCTGGTTATGTAGTTCCTCCGTTAGCTCTGAGAAGTTTGATCTACTGAAGCCTTCTCTCAAGTTGTCAAAGTCATTCTCCATCCAGCTTTGTTCCATTGCTGGCGATGAGCTGCGTTCCTTTGGAGGGGGAGATGCACTCTGATTTTTTGAATTTCCAGCTTTTCTGCCCTGCTTTTTCCCCATCTTTGTGGTTTTATCTGCCTTTGGTCTTTGATGATGGTGACGTACTGATGGGGTTTTGGTGTGGGTGTCCTTTCTGTTTGTTAGTTTTCCTCCTAACAGTCAGGACCCTCAGCTGTAGGTCTGTTGGAGTTTGTTTGAGGTCCACTCCAGACCCTGTATCAGCAGCGGAGGCTGCAGGAGATAGAATATTGCTGAACAGCAAGTGTTGCTGTCTGATTCTTGCTCTGGAAGCTTCGTCTCAGGGGCGTACCCTGCCGTGTGAGGTGTGAGGTGTTGGTCTGCACCTAGTGGGGGATGTCTCCCAGTTATGCTACTCAGGGGTCAGGGACCCACTTGAGCAGGCAGTCTGTCCGTTCTTAGATCTCACCCTCCATGCTGGGAGATCCACTGCTCTCTTCAAAGCTGTGAGACAGGGGCATTTACCTCTGTTGAGGTTTCTGCTGCTTTTTGTTTAGCTATGCCCTGTCCCCAGAGCGGCTCTTGTTTTCTAACTGGCTGAGCTGAGTGGTCCAGTTGCTATTTTTAATCATGCCCATTATCTGTTATAATCCCTTGTTTCCAGCTCTTTGTGTCTATATAACTGTTCCCTAAGTTACATGTGATAGTTCATATCTGTTTTCAAAATGAGTTCACAGATTATGTCTCATTAAAATCATACTTCCTAATAAATGCCACCCAAAGCCATTCCACACAGTCATTTTCCTAGACAGCAAAAAGAGTTTTGTAAAATGCCATATTCCCTTTTACTGCTGCCTGGTAATTGCTGTCCGCTCTACATGTCAGGGACTAGGTGAAAGGAGGAAACATTAGTAGGAGATGTTCTTCTGTGAGGAGATTATTCCCAAAGGAATGGCTCGGGATGGAGCAATGGCTAATAATGGAGAGGATAGAGAGGATTCCCAGGAATCTCAGTCTTAAGAATGGAATCACTAACCCATTGCCCTGTAATCTCTCCTTGTAGTTTCCTATTAAAAACCTCTCAGCTCTGTGAGCTAAGGGAGCAGCAATGCATTGCTGTTGCCTCCTTACTTTCTTACTACTCAGTGTACTGTCTCACAGAAAGGCACTTTTGTTAGTGGCTGATTCACAACAGTCTCCTCAACCTAATTCTATTAATATTCAGCACCTGTGTGTTGGGCACAGTGCTGAGCACTAGTGATAAAGCCATGAACAAGAGAGAAATAGTCCCCACCCTGGTGGAACTTCTACTCTAATACCAAATGTGACAGTGCTATGTGTTTGCAACAGTACTGTTTTCTTCTTTTAAAAAAATTGTGAAAGAAATTTTTACTGCACTATTGGTACTATGCCTACCCTCAAGTGGCTTATAATGCTGTTTGGGAGAAAGACTTACAGGAGAAACACTAGTAGGATAAGCTAAGAGTTAAGTTGCTTGATAGCTCTTAGGTGCAGGAGGTGTCAAATGAAAGCAAATAGAACTGTATGCTAGAGTCATCAGGAAGAGAGGTCACAAGATTTTGTTATAGCCCCTCTGTTAATTCCAAAATAGCAGCCAATGACTTTTTAATATGAGTCGTGTCATGGTGCTTCTCTGCTTAAATCTTTCAGTGACCTCCCTCCTGACTCTGTATAAAGTAATGCTTATAACAGTATGGAAGACCCACACAATCTGCACTCACCCCACCTCACCCCCACCTCTCTTATCTTCTGTGGTATTCCCTTTTTGATTCTACAGGCAGCTTGATCTCCTTGCTGTTCCTCAAAACACCTGGAACTTAGCTGCCTCAAGGGCCTCTTACTTGGAAATCCCATCTTTCCAGAACACTTTCTCCCAGATGTTTGCATGGTACCTTCCTCATTACATAAGACTAGTGATGTCTTCCCGAAAAACACTATTTTGAATTGTATTCTCCCTCACCTCCTTAGCACTCTTTATTCCCTTTCACTGAATTATTTTTCTCCTTTGCACTTTTTATCATCTGTAATATATGCTTATTTATTTGTTTATTGCCTGTCTGTGCCAAGTAGAATGTCAGCTCTAGAAGGACAAGAAATTTAGTCTTTTTGTTCATTGTTGTATTCCTGGTACCTAGAATAGTATTATATCTGGCAATATTAGGTGCATACAAAAAGTATTTTTGAATGAATTAATGTAGAAAAAGAAAAGAAAAATGAGAGTGACACTCAAGGAAGACAGAATAAGCAAAGATATTTAAAGAGAAATAGAATAAGTACTGATACGGGAGGAGATAAAAAAGGCCAACCTAACTATAACAGATAAATGGTTTCTTGTTTGAGGAGAGTTAAAGAAAGTTAGGTCAATAAGGTGGTACCTAAGACATAAGGTAAAAGAATCCTAAGACAACCAGCAAAGGAGTTTGGGTTTCGTATCAATACATCAGTAGAGTTATTTCAGATTCGTAAGAAGAGTGATTTAACAAATAATGTTTAGGAACATCCTTTGAGAATTGGTATGGAAGATAGATTGAAAGGGAGAGAAACTGGATGTTAGAAAACTATATTACTGCAGTAATCTAAGCAAGAGGCTGAGTAAAAGGGAAGTGGTAAAGAGAAAGAATGATGAAGACAGGTCACATCTGTGAGAAAGCTTACAAAACAATGAAAATGACTTTGAAATTTTATGAAATGAACTGTTATGGGAAAGTAAGAATCAACATAGTAGCTGTAAAATTTTAAGACTGGGGACAAGAGAGTATAATAAAACAGGGAGCCAGTTGTACAGTTCTAGGGTCTGCAAGGGTTGCTAAAGTAAAAGTCTTCAGTGTTCCATCAACTCTGTCATTCCCTAAGAAAATAATGCTGAAAACCTAGTGTCTTTCACTTCTATCTTGTCTTTAAAATCAGCAACAGAAGGTAGATTGATAATGGTCAACTTGTGTTCACTGATGCTGTATCGTTTGATGGTGTTCAGAAAACACTATCAAATCTGGCTAGTTTGATGAGCCAGAAGTGAGAAATCATTGCTACATAGTTAATGCAGATTTGAATTTTTCTGTAGCACCAGATGATCTATTCAGGAATGTAATAAAACAATTTTTAAAATAAGTTCATTTTTTAAAATTATAAATATTAGATTCTTTCCTAGTAATATGTGGGTACTAATTTGAGAAGGGATTTTCTACTTGGGCTTAAAGTATAATGAAGACATAGAAGTAAAATGTTTTATATAATTCTTGCTGGTAAAGTTTAAAATTATTTTTCATTCATTTTTATCTCCTTTCCTTTATCTTCAGACGTAACTTTTAAATTCATATTTCTTGTTTACTATATTCTGACATGAATAATCATGAAATAGTTCCCAAGAGCCACACATACAAATTATTTAAATTAATTCATGTTCTTTTTTCCTTATAGGACCAGTACTTCAGACTTAAACATATAATTTCAGGGCACTCCTAAACAGATTGAAAATGTTGATTTCACCTTTGAAATTTTGTTTTATTTCAGATTTGGTGTGAAGAAGAAACCAATTTACATTAATGTCATAAGGGATCCTATTGAGAGGCTAGTTTCTTATTATTACTTTCTGAGATTTGGAGATGATTATAGACCAGGGTTACGGAGACGAAAACAAGGAGACAAAAAGGTAATATTTTAGTTTTAAGATTTTTATAAAGATAATTGTTTATGAAATGCAGTGAGCAGTGTGCTTTTAAAATTTGATGTTAATTATAAATGTATTACTTGCTTATTGTGGAAATTTTGAAGAGAACCCAAAATATGAAGAAGCAGAATGAAGTTACATAGCTGATATATTGTAATATACATTTTTTTGTGATTTTAAAAAATATTTCTTTTCCAGGGCAGAATCATGTTTTCTTTATGGTTCTGTTAACAATTTTCTGTGCGATTATTGTAATTATTCACTAATATGATATATTTTTGTATATTTTTTGATTCTCTTAGTATTGATGGCTGTTTATATTTGTGATCATCAGCTTAAGGACAGTATTTTGCTAAGCAGCTGTTTTTTTCTGGCAAGAAGAGAATAATGGCTCAACAAAGTTCATAACAGGCTCAGATTTTGGTTGTTTTCCATTTCATTGCATTTTCTAGAGTATTACCAGAGTTATATTTCTAAGAAATCAAACTGATTTGTCACTTCTCTGGTGGAAAACCTTTACTGGGACCTCACTGCTCACAGATTAAGACATAGGAGACACAACTAGACACGATCTCAGAACAAGCTCTCCTGTCTGATTTTCCTTTAGGTGCCCAGTGCTTTGGCCACATGAAATGTCACCATCCTCTGAACTTATTGCTTAAGTTATTAATGCTTCATACTTTTTTACACATGTGTTATTCCCTATATTGAGAATGCCTTTCGTTTACTCTGGAAAACTCTTTATCCACCTTTAAGATGTAGCTCAAACATGACCACTTCCATAAAGTCTTTTCTGATGCCTCTAGGCAGTTAGTCATATCTCTTTCGGGGCTCCCAGAGCACTTCATTCAAATCTCTTTCTTTTAAGCATTTATTTTGTGATATTTGGATTACCAGTTTACATACTGTCTTCTCCAAAATGTGGTGAATTTCCTGAAGCATATATTTAATTCATCTTTGTTTCCTCAGAATTTAACATCATACCTAGGTTACCTGTAAGTGCTTAACAAATGCTTGAGTGTGTGAATTCTGCACATTTTAAACCTAAACTATTACACAGTAGCGATGCCAGATATTTGGTATGTTATGATAATTAACACCCAACAATATTTTTTCTAAATTAGTTGTATCCTCTGTGTCACATGATGGGACAGTGGTTTTTTGTTTTGTTTTCCTTTTTAATGATTTCTAGAAATTGCTGTTTCTTTAGTCTCAAAGTTTTAGGCAGAAGGTACTGATCCAGAGATAACTAACCAAATCTGTTTTCTTAAATAATGCTATTTCTTAGCATTATTTAATCTTCTAGAAATATTTATTATGGAGATTCTGAAAAGTTTTATAAAATCTATTACTATAACTCTTACAACTTACTACTTTATAATTTATTGATATTTATTTCTAAATTCACTTGTGCACTTTCTTTTTATTTTTTGTATTAGCCCTATGTACACTAACTCTTGACTCAGTAAATGTTAGTATCTGTCTCCCTCCTTTGACCAAAGTAATATTAGCGTTAGTGTTGGAAAGGAAAAGATTGCAGTCATGTAGGCCCCTATATCCATCATTTGTCATTGTCAGCCCTGGATAGCATGGTTCTGTGGTTCCTAGTTTGGGTGATTGGGTAATAATAACTAATAATTATTAACAGTAACAGTATTAACTAATAATAGCTCACATTTACTGTATACTATACCAAGCAGTGTTTTAAGTTATTTCATATGTATTTTTTCAGGTAACTTGCACAACAATTCTATAGGGTGGTTGCTGTTATTGTCCTCATTTTACAGAAAAGGAAACTGGGGGGCACAGAAAAGCTAAGTATTTTGCACAGTGTCATTCAACTAGTAAATGGTAGTAAATGGTAGAGCTGGAATTTAAAACCAAGCACTCTAATTCCAGAGCCCATAGTCTTAACCTCTCTTATATCCTTTGAAAAGGAGAGAAGAAATGCAACATGTCACTGACATTTTTCTGTGAAACATGTTCCAAAGTTGCGTATTCAGTATTCATGAAAAAATCCAGGCAGACATTTTAACATCGTCTCCCTTTCATGTTTGAAAGTTTTAGGTAGATAGGCCATCCTGGAGCTTTACCTGTTCTTCACCCTGATTATAATAAGGCCTGGGGTTTGTTTTGTTTTGTTTTTTTGTTTTTTTAATGTCATTATAAAATAAACATTAATATGCCTGTTTATTTAGATGTAGTGTTGATAACATCAGCAAAATACTATTGCATTGTCTTCTTATGAGGACAGGGCTATCTGTAAATAATTGAATTTATAATAATAAGAAATTACTTTGTTTTATGATAGAATGTACCTTTTCAGTCTTGAAACATATTGGTGATTAGACATTTTTAGTAATTTGGCTTGTTTCTCGTGATACACATGTTGGTTAACCTAATGCTGATATCCTAATGAGTTAAGTGGTGTTTATTGCAAATAACTCCTTAATATCTTTAACTAGCAGGAGGTTTCGTTAAACTTATCTGTAAAGTTGGTAAGACTGCATACATATAACATTTCTAAAGCTGGACAGGTTTTAGAAAGATTGGAGGTTAAAGGGCGGCCATGATTATGTTGGAAATACCTTGCAATGGCGCTTATTCCCAAGAAAGTGTAGATAACTTTATTTCTATAAAATTGTAGATTATTTGCATCTCAAGTGATATTTTGAGGTATATTAGACAGTATTCAGTTCAGCACTTACGGCAACTGTTATGTTTTAAACTGACGTACTCTAGTAATCTGAACTGCTCTGTGGTTACACTTCAAACACATTTTAGATATATGTGCACCTAGGATAGCTTTCACTTGATCTTGTAAAGAATGGAAGGCTTTTGATTTGGGAGATTTCAAATTTGCACGTTTTAGAACTACAGTTTTACTTAATTTAACCTGTGCCCAGCACCTGGAAAATAGGGATATTAAGTAATCCAAAGATGAGCAGTGAATAACTGTATCATTCAAATCAGTGGTTCTCAAACTTTTTGATATAAGAATTCTTTTTATACTCTTAAAAATTATTAAGGATTCCATAAAAGAGCTTTTGTTTATGGCTTTTGTTTTGTTTTGAGTTATATCTATTGATGTTTACCAATATCAGTAAATTTGCCATTTACTGAAAAAATTTTTAAATATTAAAACACTAAATAGTAAAGCCATCATATGTTAACATAAATTATATTTTAGTGCACATAACTGTTTCTCCTCCGACAAAAAAATGAAAAGAGTGGCATCGGTTTACATTTTTGCATATCTTTTTAGCATCTGGCTTACTATAGACAGCCGATTTTCTTTTTTTATTTTTATTTTTTTTTAATTTTCTGTTTGTTTTGTTTTGTTTTGAACCCTGAGAAACTAGACAGCTGATTTTCATATTTGCTCCTGAATTCAGTTTGTTCAAAATGTTCTTTTGGTTGAATTGAGGAACTCCAGCTTCACACAGATATATAATTGGAAAAGGGAGGATTTTAATAGCCTTTTCAAGAAATTGCGGCTATTCTTTAGTAAACACTAAAACTTGACAAGTGGTAGTTTCAAAAGTTAGTTGCAGTGTAGAATCTGAAACCATAGCAGTGACTTTTTTACACTTTGCTACATTAAAATCTGTTGATACGTTTTACACTTGAAATGGATCTTTCAACCAAGCATAATTTTGAAACATCATACATTGGTCATTTGGAACATACTGGTTCACTGACTTATATGGACCTTTCAAATGTTAATGTATTTTGTTATACAGCATTAAAAACTCATATTCATTAATATCACCACTAGTCTCATCAGAAGAGTCCTTAAGTATTGGGAGACTGTCAAGCTTATGGTGGCAGATACAAGTTTTCCAAAATTTTATTTTTTGCTTGAAAGCTTAATTTTTATCATTGGCCTATTACAGGATTTCTCAACCTCAACATTATTGTTGTTTTGGGCCAGATAATTCTTTGTCGTGGGGGCTTCTTATACATTGTAGGATGTTTACCAGCATCTCTTACTTCTACCTGGTAGCATCCCCCATACCTCAGCTGTGAGAACCAAAATTGTCTTCAAACATTGCCAAATATCACCTGAGGGTCAGAATAGCTTCCAGCTGAGAACACGTGGGGTATCAACACTGTCAGCTATTCTTTCACCTGACGGACATAGTTTATTCATTTTGAGAAAATACCACCAAATACTCAAATCTGAATAGCTGTAGTTTGGGATATGGTAGATATATAGATACGTAAGATTTTATTTCTTATTTCTTTTTATGAGCTACAAAATTCGGCACAAATGATAATAAAACCACTTTTTAGAAAATGGCCTAGGCTGGCAAATCTAAGACCATCTAGAAAAATTCAGAAATAATATCAGATGCCTCATGAAAATATTTTATTTCCTCTGTCTTCATCTCTGCTAGAGCTACGCCTTTAATACCCATGTAAATCCCCAAAGCGCAGTCTTTTCAGTAGTCATTTACAAATATTAATTGTGCAAGTGGTTTATATAGCACTATTCTGTATGCTCTGAAGGATACAAATGCTACTGCATGATCCACGAATGCTACTTCAGGAAGTTTTCACTGTAGTTGGAAAGACACAACATAACACATAACACATTTAAAAAGCACATGAAACAAGTTATGTAGATAAAGCTATAGACAGACAGACAGACAGATCAACCTATCCTAAGATTCTAAACCAGATCCTAAGAGCTACCTGTTACAAGGCAGTATGTGATTTTTTTGTTTGTTTGTTTTGTTTTTGTTTTTGTTTTTGAGACGGAGTGTTGCTCTGTCACCAGGCTGGAGTGCAGTGGCTCCATCTCGGCTCACTGCAACTTCCACCTCCTGGGTTCAAGCGATTCTCCTGCCTCAGCCTCCCAAGTAGCTGGGACTACAGGCACAAGCCACCACGCCCAGTTAATTTTTGTATTTTTAGTAGAGATGGGGTTTCACCATGTTAACCAGGATGGTCTCGATCTTGTGACCTTGTGATCTGCCCACCTCGGCCTCCCAAAGTGCTGGGATTACAGGTGTGAGCCACCATGCCCAACCGTGATTAATTTACATGACTTCAAACAAAATAAGAGTGTCTCATCCCACCTACTCTCACCCAATTATTTAACAATTTACCACATTAGATATTTGATAGGTGAGACTTGGATTTATGGCTTACCCATGCTGCTTTGTCTTTGTTCTAGACCTTTGATGAATGTGTAGCAGAAGGTGGCTCAGACTGTGCTCCAGAGAAGCTCTGGCTTCAAATCCCGTTCTTCTGTGGCCATAGCTCCGAATGCTGGTAGGGAGATAAAGTTGGCTCAAATTGATTATCATTCTTATTATCTCTATATCTGTGTTTCATTTCACAAGGGCTAGATGTAGGGAAATCGGTGAAAGACTAGACTAAAAATAACATGTAATTGAGTAATATCTAGTTTTGCAGTTACTTTTAAATGCATTTAAAAGATTCCTCATGTAGAGTAATATCCTAATATCCTTGCATTGTTTTCTCAGGTGCTGGTTTTTAATATTTCTTATTTTTGGTGCTATGTTTTGCTGTATTCCAGTAGAGCTCTTAGAGACTGGGAGGTGGTCATAAATCTTATTTTGTCCAAAGCTTACTGTTTTAGCTATTTGTGTTAAATTAAGTAAAGGCTTAGCAGGTTAAAATTCACCTGGTTTTACTGTTAAACTGATTTTGACTTTAAGAGAAGCCAAGGTTAAGGGTGTGGTTTAGTTTGCTAGTAAATATCAAGTGGAAAATGAAGATACTTTAATAAAAAATGTATTTCCTCAGAATGTGTTGAGTTTTCAGTTTTTAAAAATAATTTTACATGTTTATTTGTTCTATTCAATCATTTTAATAGGAGAAGTAGGAGAAAAAAGGAACATATTCAAAGTTTCTTCCTTAAACCATAATGAGAAATACAAGGAATTTCTTCATTATTTGAGATATATTATTAGATTGCTGTGGAGTTTAAGGTCCTACTCAATAAATTACATCAAAGCCTCATACTAGTATAAGAATTGGAAGCCTATAAAGAATGCCTTCTCAATTTTTAACCATTTCTTTAGAACAGGGATTGGCAAACTACAGGTTGTAACCTGCAGACCCAATTTTGGCCTATCACCTGTTTTTTTTTAATAATAATAATAATTATTATTATTATTATTATTATTAGAGACAGAATTTCGCTCTATCGCCCAAGCTGGAGTGCAGGGGCACAGTCTTGGCTCACTGCATCCTCCGCCTCCTGGGTTCACAGTTCTCCTGTCTCAGCCTCCCGAGTAGCTGGGACTACAGGTGCCTACACTACACCTGGCTAATTTTTGTTTTTTTAGTAGAGATCGGGTTTCACCATGTTGGCCAGGCTGGTCTCGAACTCCTGACCTCAAGGGATCCACCTGCCTCAGCCTCCCAAAGTGCTGGGATTACAGGCATGAGCCACCATGCCCAGCTATGTCACCTGTTTTATAAATAAAGTTTTATTGAAACACAGCCACATGTATTTTTTACTTACTGCTTGTGGCTGTTCTCACACTGCAACAGCAGAGTTGAGTAGTTGTAACCTAAACCATGTATATTAGCTGTTCTTGCATTACTATAAAGGACTACCTGAGACTGGGTAATTTATGAAGAAAAGAGGTTTAATTGGCTCACTGTTCTGCAGGATGTACAAGCATGGCACCAACAAGGGCCTCAGGAAGCTTACAATCATGGCAGAAGGTGAAGCAGGAACAGGCATATCACATGGTGGGAGCAAGAAAGTGGGCACTAGGGGCGGGGGTATGGTTCCCAGACTTTCAAACAACCAGATCTTGTGTGAACTGAGCGAGAACTCAGTTATCGCCAAGGGGATGGCACTAAACCATTCATGACAGATCTGCTCCCATGATCCAGTCACCTCCCACCAGGCCCTACCTCCAGCACTGGGAATCACATTTCAATGTGAGATTTGGAGGGAACAGACATCCAAACCATATTATTCTGCCCCTGGCTCACCAAATCTCATGTCTTTCTCATATTTCAAAATATATTCATCCCTTCACAGTAGTCCCAAAGTCTTATTCCAGCATTAACTCAGAAGTCCCAAGTCCAAAATCTCATCTGGAGATGAGTTCCTTCTACCTGTGAGCCTGTGAGATTAAAAAAAAAAAAACAACAAGTTATTTATTCCCGATACAATGGTGGTATAGGCATTGGATAAACATTTCCATTCCAAAAGGGAGAAATTGGCCAAAAGAAAGGTGCAGTAGGCCCCACACAAGTCTGAAACCCAGCAGGGCAGTCATTACATCTTAAAGCTCCAACATAATCCTTGACTTCATCTCCTGCATCCTGGTGCAAGGGGTGGGCTCCCAAGGCCTTGAGCAGCCCTGCCCCCATGGCTTTGCAGGGTGCAGCCTACATGGCTGCTCTCATGGGTTAGAATTGAGTGTACCTGCAGTTTTTCCAGGGAGAGTGTGAGAGCTGATGGTGAGCCAACCATTCTGGGATCTGGAGGGCATAATCCCCTTCCCACAGCTCCACTAGGCAGTTCCCTGTTTGGGTCTCTGAGTGGGGTGAGGGCTCCAACACAACCCACTTCTGAAATCTAGATGGAAGCTGCAATCTAGGTGGAATGCAAGCTCCTTCATACTTGCATTCTGAGCATCTGCAAATTTAATACCACCTGGAAACCACCAATGCTTACAGCTTATGCTCTTCCGGACTGGTGGCCCAAGCTATACCTGAACTCCTTTGAGCCAAGGCTGGAACTGGAGTGGCCGGGATGTGGGGAGCAATGTCCCAAGGCTTCTCAGGGCAGCAGAACCCTGGGCCTGTCCCCTTAAATCATTCTTCCCCCCAAGGCCTCTGGGCCTATGATGGGAGGGGCAGCCTGGAAGATCTCTGAAGTGCCTTTGAGGCCTTTTTCCCATTGTCTTGGATATTAGCACTTGACTCCCTTTTAGTCATGCTAACCTCCTTAATAAGTGATTGCTCCACAGTGTTATTAAATTCCTTCCCTATTCCCTGCCCTATTCCCTGGAAAATAAGCTTTTCAGTGGGCGTGGTTGCTCATGCCTGTAATTCCAGCACTTTGGAAGACCAAAGTGGGAGGCTCGCTTGAGCCCAGGAATTTGAGACTAGCCTGGGCAATCTCATCTCTACAAAACATAAAGTTAGCCAGGTGTAGTGGCATATGCCCATAATCCCAGCTACTTGGGAGGCTAAGGTAGGAAGAACACTTGAGTCCAGGAGGTTAAGCCTGCAATGAGCCAAGATCCAGCCTGGGCAACAGAGCAAGACCCTGTCTTTAAAACAAAAAACAACACAAAAAGGGGGCTTTCCTTCTCTACCACATGGCCAGGCTGTGAATTTTCCAAATGTTTATGCTCTGCCTCCCTTTAAAATATAAGTTCCAACTTTAAGTCATTCCTTTGCTCTTGCATTTTATTGTAGCCTCTTAGACGCAGCCAGGCCACATCTTAAATGCTTTGTTGCTTAGAAATGTATTGTGCCAGATGTCCTAAGTCATCACTTTTTTTTTTTGGAGACAGTCTCACTCTGTCAGCCAGGCTGGAGTCCAGTGGCACAATCTCGGTTCACTGCCTCTGCCTCCTGGGCTCAAGCAGTTCTCCTGCCTCAACCTCCCGAGTAGCTGGGATTACAGGTGTGTGCCACCATACCCGGCTAATTTTTGTGTTTTTAGTAGAGATGGGGTTTCACCATGTTGGCCACGCTGGTCTCAAACTCCAGACCTCAAGTAATCCACCTGCCTCAACCTCCCAAAGTGCTGGGATTACAGGTGTGAGCCACCACACCCAACCAGTCATCAGTCTTTAAGTTTAAACTTCCACAGATCTCTAGAACTTGGACACCGCACAGCCAAGTTCTTTGCTAAGGCATAATACAGGTGACCTTTACTCCAGTTCTCAGTAGCTTCTTCATTTCCCTCTGAGACCTCATCAGCCTGGACTTCTGTCCATATTTCTGTCAGCATTTTTGTCACAATCATTAAACCAGTCTCAGCTTAAGTAATGTCAAAGTTTCCCTCTTCTTCCTGTCTTCTTCAGAGCCCTTCAGATTCTTCCAACCTCTGCCCATTACCCAGTTCCAAAGCCACTTTCCCATCTTCAGGTATCTTTACAGCAATACCCCACTCCTTAGGAACAATTTTCTCTATTAGGCCATTCTTACATTACTGTGAAGGAATACCTGAGATGGTAATTTATAATGAAAAGAGGTTTACTTGGCTTATGGTTCTGCACGCTGTGCAAGCATGACACCAACATCTGTTTGGTTTCTGGTGCAGGCCTCAGGAAGCTTACAATCATGGCAGAAAGTGAAGTGGGAGCAGGCACATCACATGGCAGGAGTGGGAACAAGAGAATGAAGGGGGAAGTCCCAGTCTTTTTGTTTTTTTTTAAGATGAAGTTTTGCTCTTGTCACCCAGGCTGGAGTGCAGTGGCGTGATCTCGGCTCACCACAACCTCTGCCTCCTGGGTTCAAGCAATTCCCCTGCCTCAGCCTCCCGAGTAGCTGGGATTACAGGCATGCACCACCATGCCTGGCTGATTTTGTATTTTTAGTAGAGATGGGGTTTCTCCACGTTGGTGAGGCTGGTCTTGAACATGAGGTGACCCGCCTGCCTTGGCCTCCCAAAGTGCTGGGATTACAGGTGTGAGCCACCACACCTGGCCCCCAGTCTTTTAAATAACTAGATCTCTAATGAACTAACTGAGCCAAGTACTCAGTTATCACTAAGGGGATGGTGCTAAACCATTCACAAGGGACCTGCTCCCATGATCCAGTTACCTCCCACCAAGTCCAACCTCCAACACTGGGAATCACATTTCAGAATGAGAGTTAGAGGGAACAAATACCCAAACCATATCACTGTGTAGTCTGCAAAACCTAAAATATTTATCCTCTGACTTTTTATATAAAAAGTTTGCCAAACCCTGCCTTAGAACAATAAAGACTATTGCTCTATTGGGCATTTTTGAGGAGATATTAATTGTATTTCTTCAGTATATTTCATAGATTCACAGAACTGGGAGGGTGCTTAGAAACCAATTAATCATGGCTCCCCTCCCCCTCTTTTTTTTTTTAAATAGTTTGAGAAAACAAAATTGAGAAAGGGGAAGCCATCAGCTCAAGACCATACTGCTGCTTAAACGCAGAGCTAGAATTTGGATTAAGGAATATTTGTGCTAAAAAGAACCCAAAAGTAGAGTTTATTTTGGATCAAATCTCTGTTAATAGCATTAGCTGACAATGTAAATGAAAATAAAAATAAAAGATTCTTAGCAGAGCCATTATCTATTTTCTGTTCCTCAGAAATTTCAGAAAACAGCTCACAAAAATTCAAAACTCACACAATAAGCAGTAAACACGAATTGTTTACACTTTACTAGAGAGCTCTTAAATGAACAGAATTTAGTGTAGCTTAAAAAAGTTAAAACACACTAAATCATATAGGAGGGGTATATTTTCTTATATCCATATACATTTTTAAAGTGCCCTTAAACTAAATTGCTCATGTTAAGAGTCCTCTGGTAAACTCTGAATTAGCACTGCATAGTTGAGCAGAAACTGGAGATGGAAGCAAAGGAAATTAGAAACAGGTGTGCCTCCCACAGGATGGTAATAAAAGGGCATTGAGACTTTGGATATACATGTGTTTATCTATTTTCTCTGTAATATATAGTGTCAAAGGCACCAAAAACGCTCAGCAGATTTCACAACCAGGTTTTAATTCCTTTTCTTTGGTTTCAGGAATGTGGGAAGCAGGTGGGCTATGGATCAAGCCAAGTATAACCTAGTTAATGAATATTTTCTGGTGGGAGTTACTGAAGAACTTGAAGATTTTATCATGTTATTGGAGGCAGCATTGCCCCGGTTTTTCAGGGGTGCTACTGAACTCTATCGCACAGGTATATAAAGGAAGGGTTTCTTTTTAAAACTTTCTTTGGTTTCTTTTGTTTGTTTCTTTGCAACTCGTAAATATATGACTTAAAGTTTCTTCAGTGAAACGACGACATTTCACGACAGATAACTCCAGAAAGGCAGGTATCTTGTCTGTTTCTGCTCACTATTTTCTATTGAATAACTGTGAATTAGGTGAAAATTAGAAGGCACTGTAGAAATAGTGGAATGATACAAACTACAGAACCAGCCTTAGAAATGTATAGTATTCAATACATTTCTTGCCAGATGTCAAACATAGGCCTGTGTATTAGTCCTGCCTACTACCATTTTGAAGTAGAGGTGGGATAGTGGAACTAAAGTATGCCTAAGCCATGTTTCAGCAGCCTCAGCTGTATTACGTATCTGAAAGTGATAAGTTAATTATGTTTTTGTTTTGTTTTGTTTTGTTTTTTGCTGTTGCTTGATAAGATGCAGTTATAGAAACTCTTTCCTTGAGGATGCATATGCCCTAGCCTCTAACATAATTTTAGAGAATATAGATTATGAGAAAATAGAATACAGTTTGGCAATAGATATTTTATCAGAAATGAACTAGTCTCAGAGCACCAAGAACTTAAGAATATAGTGTATGAGGTGACAGCCTACACTTCACTGTGTGCCAATCCTTACATTTACTATTTGACATTTCATTAAGTCTTTACTAGGTTGAGGATTTACATTCTAAAGGACTGAATCATAGCTCTAGTATGATCAAGGTTCCATTTTTACCTGAATTTTATAAGACAATTATGTTACCTATTCTTTAATATGTCATATTAACCACCTCTTCAAATAAAGAGGCATTGACCTTTTGTGTGTTCTCCAAGAATTATTTACCTTTTCTTTTTTTCCCCCTTTGTAAGTAGGAAAGAAATCTCATCTTAGGAAAACCACAGAGAAGAAACTCCCCACTAAACAAACCATTGCAAAACTACAGCAATCTGATATTTGGAAAATGGAGAATGAGTTCTATGAATTTGCACTAGAGCAGTTCCAATTCATCAGAGCCCATGCTGTTCGAGAAAAAGATGGAGACCTCTACATCCTCGCACAAAACTTTTTCTATGAAAAGATTTACCCTAAGTCGAACTGAGTATAAGGTGTGACTATTGGATTCTTGAACTAAAATTTGACCCTATCTTCACCTTTGTTCTCAGCTCCACAGTCTGGATTGCTGACAGTAGGTGTATATGACAGTTTATATCAAGCCAAATTAGGAAACATAACAGTAACGTCAAGGAAGTAGATACTGGCTGGTATGCCAGTGTTCTAAGTTTAAGTTTCAGGCATTTTTATTTTTCCTGGCTAAACTTTGGTGAAAGTTATAACCTCCTGCCTGGGAGAAAATATACATCACCTAAAATGAACTCATGGCAGGTCTAATCAAAAGGCTAAATACAATTTCAGAAAAGATTCTGATACTCTCGTTTTTGATAAAGCATTTTTTCAACTAACCATGAATGAAGATGAGTCCATTTGCCTCTTCTGCCTTCACTGAGGGTTTGGGTTATACACCTCTACTGAATTGTGTTAATAACTGTTTGACAGTGTGTACTTTGTTTTTGTGAGTCATGTCTCATGAAATTTATTGGAATGTTTAATCATATTTGCTAAGAAATGTTTCTGCTGTAGTTGGATTTGCCCATATTTATGTAGGTGGTTTTAATTTTTTAAATACTGATTAGTGTTAAAAATCAATTTAAATGACTAATATGGTAAAAAGATAAAGCGTCAAAGCAGTATTTCTCATTCCTGTCTCCTCAATGTCTAATATTGGGAAGATACTTCAAAGAATACTGAGATTGTCTGAAGTTTTAGTTAAGATTTTTACACATTAATATCAAAAAAGTAAGTTTAGTATTTGTTTCTCCATGGGTTATTTGTAAAGCTGTAAACTGAGATATCGGTGACTCCGTATTATGACTCCATTAGTGAGCGGTGGTATGGGTAGGATTTTCCTACTTCTTCTGTACTTTTACCTGTAGACTATTTTTACTAAGGTGCTTTATAATGTGTTTTAAAGCATTGCATTTACAAAAAAAGGAAAATGCTGTAAATATTGCATATTTTATGTATTTGGACCAAAAGGTTACAAGTAATTAGACAAAAGTGGTTTTGCACCAATTTTATGTCAAGTAAAACCATCAGACCTACTGTTCTTGTATTTCTCATTTAACTTTACTGTTAAGACATCACTGAAATGAACTTCAATAAGCTTTCAATTTTGATACACAGTTCATTATTCATAACTTGAGGCAGTAATTGCAGTGGAAAGAGTACTGGACAAGGAGTCAAAAAACTTGATTTCAGGTCCTAGCTCTACCACTTACCAGCTGTGTGATCTTGGGCAAGTCACTTAACCTCTCTTTGCCTCAATTTCCTCATCTTGAAATGATAATAATACCTGCTGTACCTACCTCACAGGGCTGTTGTGAGGATTAAATGAGATGGCATGTGAAAGCACTTTGAAAATTGTAAAGCGCTATATAAATGTAAGGTATTATTATAGAAACATCTTTAACATATAGTTTCATAGCATTCCTTTTTTAACAAAGAAAGGGAAAAGTCTGCTTGTAAGCTGGTTGAAAAAGTTAATCTTGATATAAATTTGTGTTTGATACACATCCTCCCAGTGTTTTATCTTCCATGTTTCAGCAACGATTGAAATATGAAACACCTGCGAACTCTTAAAGCTTCATGAGCAGCTGCTTGAGTTTAGGAAGTTCCCTGTTAGAAATAGGCTTTGTTAGCTGACTAGGGTCAGGGAAACTTTGCTCTTCAAATTTGAAAGATGTTTCTGTTTTTATTTTACATTACTATTCAGAAATGGTAGCTATTTTATACCTATGGTTTAACTAAATATTTCTGAACAAGGCTTCACAGACTGTAAGCATTTTAGGTAAATTGCCTTAAAGGTTATGGGAGGGCATGAGGGAACACTTCTTATGAGAAAACATTTATAAACAAACTAGAGAAAAACTAAAAGAATGGCAGGAAGAATCATTTTAGCACCCTTTCCTCACAATAATATAATATAAAAGTATTAAAAGAACATAGCCAGGCTTTTTATTTTTATTATTATTATTTGGCTTTTTTCTTTCTTTTTTCAAATTGATTTTTGTAGGTATTTCCTGAAAGTGTATACAAATTATTTCCTTGCCCAAAAGTAAAGCACCACTTCAGGGTGGGGTTTGACATTACCTGCTAATGAACAAACCCCAGTATGCAAGTTACTCTTGCACCACATGCCCAAATCTTCTTGAGGTGCATTAACTCTTTTAGGTAACTAGAGCAGTACTTTGTGAACTAGATCAGGAGGTAGGTAAACTTTCTGTGGAAGGACCAGAGAGTAAATATTTTAGGCTTTGCAGGCCATATGGTCTCTGTCACAGATAGTCAACCCTGCCATTGTACCACAAAAGCAGCAATAGACATTATGTAAACAAATGAGCACGGTTATGTTCCAATAAAACTTTATTTACAAAAACAGAAGACATCCCAGATGCAGACCATGGGCTACCAACCATTGCAGTGGCTAAATCATTATTTATGGAGAAATCATCTTTGTATCTGTACTCTAGAGGCCTAAAAGAGTTTATATACTTCTAAAAGCTCCTAACATATCCAAAGAATTGCTTTCTGATTCGTGTAGTCTCTCGCACAGATTCATAAACTTTTATGACTTATATTGTTTCCAGGTGGGCATGTTTTCTTTCCCAGTTTAACAGTTCAGAATAGGGGCATTTGTTTTACCATATTTTAGGGTGAGTTAGGAGTATCCTTTCTGGAGACTGAGAAAGGGGTGGATTTAATTCCATCAGGTCCAGTACAGTACTAGGAGTCATAATACTTTATAATCAGTTAAATAAATAGAACCACTGAGACAATAATGTATTTTTTTAAAGTGGCAAATGTGGTTTTCTTTTTTCAGCCTTTGCGCTTTTTCAGTATTTTGACCATAGGGAGATAATTTTTTTATAATACAAAAGTAAATTAACCACTTGGAATTTTAAAGATAATGTTATGTGTGTATGTGAAATATATATATGTATGTTTATTTCCTAAAAGAGGAAAAGATACCTTTCTGTTCAACTTGTATCAACTCCTGTTTTCTAATTGCTGTGAAATGGCAACTGTTGATAAATTATTGTGATTGTTTTAAAATCTAATGGGAAGTAAAATATATTTTGATTTTACCCAACTTTAATCTGTAAAGTAGCACTTAAATATATCTGATAGCAACACTTAAGATATTGCATGGGGATTACTTTCCTGTCATCCATGTGCATTTGTGCAACTTCAAACATATTGGGTGCTTCTGAATTCCTGATGATTGGATTTAAACTATTGAAAATTAGATAGTTTAAACTTACTGATTTTTATAATTTTCTGATCTTAAAATTTGGTTAACGCCTATAATCTGTTGCTTTTTCTCAATATGTGTCCTATTGGAAATTCCTAAAATCGTTGGTGCCATCAGTGATTTACAAACAATATTTTGCTATTGCAGATGATTTGCTTACTGTATTTGCATTGTTAGAAAGAAAATAGTTTGTAGACAATGATTCTTTTTTAATAAAATCAAATAATTCTGAAAGCACTAGAGAATTTAACCTAAAGGCTGATTCCCAAATGCATAGCTGGCATTTTAATTTATATTCAAATCTACGTAGAGAACATCTGTGTAAATCATCTCACTGGATTTTCCCATTGGTCATTCCCAAACACACCTATGGTCCTAGAATCCTTATTATGAGAAGCTCCCTGTAACCTTTTATATAGTTTGCCTTTAAGAGGCCCAGGTGCTTCTCCTTTATGATTTGAGTTGACCTCTTCATAAATTAGCATTGTTTACTTTCAGAGGAAGCAGAGAAATTGCTGTTACGGTTTTGCATCCGTTTACCCTATGCAGAGTTGCTGTATGATGCCAACTAAACTGCTCTTTAGGCAGCCTTCTGAGGAGAAAAGCAACCCTGTTTCAAATCCACTGCCAATTCAGCTCCTCTGGAGTGGAGCTTACTTTCTGATTACTTGGAGCAGGAATTTTAGAGATTGAAATGAATGATCATTTAGTCAGATTTATCCTGTAATTTCATGCAGCTTTGTGGCCTTTGCAGTACTATTTATAAAATGGACCCTGATGGTGATGAACTCTTTAAAATACATTACTGTTAAGCCTGTGTTGGGACATTGATGCTGTCTATCTCATTTTTTAGACAGTTTTTGTAGCTTTCTATTGAGAGGTATGTGAGCATCTCTGAAGCAGTGTTGAATGTAATTTTGGAAACATGGATTGCGTATTTTGACTTTTATTTTATAAATACACAGCTCAACAGTGCCTTTTTTCCCCTCATAGTCCTGTTGGAAGATGCTTACTACTTTCTTCTCGCTCCCTGCCCTCCCCCACTCCATTCAGTTGATTCATTTATGCAATTCTGTTTCCAACTTGAAACCATTTTGTCACATCTGTTGGAGAGATAATCACTCCTTTTCCTTAACATTCTGCCAGCTTTCTGATGTTGAAGTGTTTCAGTTGACTACCTGATGCAAAAGCTATAAAATAAACACTTAGTGGGAAGGGGAAAAATGGTTTGGTGTCCTGTTTTAATATTTTCTTTTGTAGCGTTGACACTGATGGACATTTTCCAAGCTGACTCAGTGTTCAGTGTCAACTTAACTCTCAGGTAGTGTTGCCATCAGAAAAGCATGCATCATCATTGGTTTTTAATGATTGTATGGCTTGTGACAATATTTTATCTGGACTGACACGTCTCTGCTGCTTTTGCGTTATACTTCATCGCTGGTAATAACATTTCAGATAGAAAACTTACAAAGTATATACTTAATTAGAAGAAAAAAGAAAAATAGACAAAGGGCTATTAGAATAAAAAAGAAATGTGAAAGTAACTTAATCTAACATTTATGGCACAGTTTGGACATGTCCATAATTTTTTTTAGAACACACATTTCTGATTTTTTTTTTTTTGCCCTTAAAAAAGAAAGTCTCAATTACATTGATTTTCAATTCTTAGCCACTGGCTCATTGTTTTGAGGAATGCTTGATTGATTCTATTTATATTATGTGATATTGGGTTGATAAAATACCAGTTCAGTGATGAATTTTCTTAACAGAATTTGGTGCGTACTTGCAGTGACAGAACAAAGAACATGGCTTGAGAGTCAAAGGGATCTGCATTTAGCAATGTGATGTCAGTAAACAGGATTGTTGCAAAGGTTGGGCATGATGTATGCAAAGTACTGGGCAGGGTAGGCTAATAACTGCTGGTATTTACATGCTGTGCTGGAATAGTGTTACCAAGCTGATGTGCCGTTCTCACCCTGCAGAATACTAGTTTTGTCATTTCATAAATGATATTTTTATAAATATTTTTGAATGACTGTACTTTTTACTGATTATCTTAATACCACGTCACTTACGTACCTGTAGCATAGATATTCCTGGTTCTGATTCTTGCTGTTCTTTCCACATACAAATCACTCATTTGTACAGATTAAAGGGGGGAAATGCTGAGTGTTCTAAAGAAGATAGGACTTGCTTATTCCAGAAGTGACGGAGTTCATATCTTAGTATATTTGAACAGTAAGGACTGCTAAATAGTACACACATAAAACTCCGGATCCCAGGAGTAAAATGATTTGCACTCTTTAAACAGAAAGGACAGCAGCAGTGTAAACAATAGGCTCTCAAGCTAAAAACTGAGAACATGAAAACCTCTGAGGACCTGACTGCAGTTGTCAAGAAAAGTAGAGACAAGGTTGGGGAGAAGCAGACAGATCTCAGGGCCAGAAACGCCAACATTTGGTGACAGGTGGGATATAATCAATAAATGGGGAATGAAGGCATTAACTTGGGTTCATAACAATGCATCTGTGCAAATTTTCAGCACCCCTTGCTTTTGCCTCAATTAGGCAATGATGATTACTTCCTATGTCAAAGCTTATAAAACAGACGAGCGTTTTCCCAAAGTACCTAGGATCACAAAGAAGGAATTCACTATCTCCCTATGAGATGTTTGGCTTCCTTGCCTCTTTTGCTCTTCCAGATTTTGTGACCTGGATTAGAGTTTAGAAAGAACCCCCTAGAAACTTTTCTGATGTCCTCTGGTTTGATCATGAAGGCTTCTAATGAAACACACCAACTCTAAGTCTCTACCTCTACTTCTCTAAACCTGAAGTTTAAAAATGAAAGTCTTGCCTGGAAATGTTTCACATCATTAACACTGACAGCATTTACAGGGAAATAGATAAAACATATTTGAATTAATTTTCTTTTAGATCAAGGGTGTGGGCAACTAGATTTCTAGAGCCTTCAGCCTATCAGTGATGCTGGAAAAGGATGAGCTATAAGTGCAATAACTGACCCCTGTCTAGGTTTTCTTGCTAAATACGCCCTCCATGAAACAGGCAACCTAAGTATTTTGAACTGTAAGAATGTTAAGAAATTTCTCTCCCTGAGCAGCAGATCCAAGAGTGATTATTCTGGGATTGTAGAATCAGTTCATTCTTTTCTTTCTTCCTCTCCTTCCGCTCTCCTTTCTTTCCAATTTAAAATCACTCAGTCTCTTAGTAGAAACTTAACATCAAAGAACTGTCAAACTTGCTAATTTGTGATTTTTTTTTAGCATGTGCCGCCTTGAAGTATCAAAGCTTTAACCTGTATCTAATTAAATATTAAAATCTGGCAAAGAGTAGACGTACAGTCCCTAACTGATCTGGCTTCTGAACTTCGTTTTGCTTTCACAAATTGAACCAGTTTGACCTAAATCTGGGTATTTCATGTAGCATCTTGAGAGATGTATTTAAAGTGCTTGTGGCAATAACATTGCATTTGTATCCATTTTTATGATTCTGGGTGCCCTCTTGGTAAGGCAGCCAGGTTGTACTGTAAAACAAAAACAATGTAGAGGTTTCAGTCGTAGGTGTTTGAAACTGTTAGATGTCTCAAAATTGATTAGCTGAAATATACCTTTTCTGGGTAACTGAACTCACCCGTAATTCCATTTGAAGCGGGCAGAGCCTTTCTGAAAATGGCTGATCAGAAATGAGTGACATTTTATTCAACCAAGAGTTACCAGAGACATATTTTTTTTCCTTTAAAAGTAATTTAAAATTCACCAGAGGATTACTAATTAGGTCTCTAGGCATAGCATGGTTATCTGATCAGACTGTCATGCCCATAAACAGTGAAAATGCAGCATGTTGATCCATTCTTGTCTGTTTTTAAAGGAGGCTGTGGACTTTAAACTCTTCTCTCGCAGGCTTGCTCTTTATTTCGTGTGGGGGCTCTTTGAATAACACCTTAGATGAGAACAATGTTTAAGAAGTAGGCCAGTTATATTTTGCTTTTCTATTTCTACCATGCTAATGGCTCTCACTTGATCGTTTAATCACTGATCCAAATCCAGATGGAATTAGATGCCCCTTCCTGCTGTAGTCCTGCAGTCAGACAGTCTGTAATGTTTGATATGGATCTTCTGAGTGGACAAGATGAGATTAGATTAGTCTCTCTGGGAGCCAGCCCTATTCATTTTCTAAGAAAGTTATACTGGAGGCCTGAGGACTGCCAAGAGCAAAGTGGAAACAGAGCCCAGCCTTTTCCTCTTATCAAGATCCACAGTGGTTCCACATTAAGTAGTGGAGATTCAAATAATGAATTGGATCAGAAGCCAGGAAGGAGGTCCTTGCCACCCACGATTGGAATATGAACTGCATGTGTTACGACTTTATTACCTTTTCTTATTTTAATATATGACAAAGACTGAAATCTCTGGCATGGAGTAAGGCAAATTTTACTTTTGTGGGGTTTTTTTTTTTTTTTTTTTACATTTAATATTTATTGAGCCCCCATTGTTTGCCAGGCACTGCACTACAGGCTCTCTGCACCATGAGCTTTAACCTTTCAATAATCCTCATATTCAATCCTTTACAACTGTTCAGAACTTTTTAATTTATAAGGTGCTTTCATTTCACATTTATCCTCTCGTTAGATTCTCACATGCAAGGGTAGATACCATTATCCTCATTTTGCAATCGAAACTGACACAGCTAGTAGGTGGAAGATGGGCTCCCCAGCCCTCAAGATTCCTAGTCCATCAAACCCTGATGCCCTTCCTGCTATGTGCCTGTCTCTGAAAGTGAGCAAGGGCTGTAGTACAGATTAAACAATTGCAGTGGTTCTTAGGCTATAATCCTATCTCTGGACCAATAGTGTCAGCATCCCCTAGGAGCTTGTTGAAAGGCAGATTCTTAGGCCCCAGCCTTCTGAGTAGGACCTAGCACTATGTTTATTAATAAGCTTTCAGGTGGTTCTGACCAAGACTAAAGAACCACTGGACTAGAGCACCAGTTTACAGATGAGACGACTGAAACTCTAGCTGAGCTTAACCTAGCTAGTTAAGCAACCTAAGGCCTCTCATAACAAAAGTTATGCGTTAGGATGTGAACCCAGGTCAGTCTGGCTCCAACACCATCTGTTTTCTACATTGGACTGCATTATAAATTATATCTTATATATATATTTCATTCTTGGTAAATTCCTCCCTGAAACGTCGTTTTGGGGGACAACAGAGCAGGTCAATGAGAAGAAAAAAGTCCCAATGTGCTCTTCTGGAGTAAGGCAACCAGTGCCACCCCTTTTAATGAGTTTCTATTTTCTTTCTGTGTGAGGTGAACGTTGGGGGCTAAGCCTCAGCGTGGCTACTAGCGTGCTCAGGAAATTCAGGGACAGAGCCGAGAATCCAAAATGGCTACCCAGACTAAGTGCATTTCATCTGGACTTTCTGGTCCCAGTGTTCCTTGGTCATACTTAATAGTTTGCTGTGATGGATTTAATGGCAAGAGGGCTCCTTGCCCTGGCTTGGCAATATCTGTGGAGCTATGCGTTGACGTAGTGTGGAAATACTTGTGGCTACTTGGAAATCCCTGTTGCTGTCATCATTGGCAGTGCTTACCAGCCAAGATCCATAGTCTGTGGTCACATGCGAACTCTTCCAGTCATGCGGCTTAAACAGAAGTGCCCACCTGTTTCTCACAAATTCTACCTGCATTTTTTTTTTCTTCTTGAAGCAAGAGCCCAAACCAAGGGTTAGTCGATAGCTCAAGGGACTTCCAGGGAAATCAGAACTGATCTTTGTGTATAGCAGTGCCGATAGGCTTCCTTCCACACACTCTGAGAGATCAGCAGGGCAGTGGACTGAGCCTTCAGGTGCAATGTGTTTCCTCCACACATTCTTTTTGAAAGAGGAAGATTATTACCCATGTATAGTGTACTTATGTGCTGGCACTGCACCAAGTGCTATGCATTTGTTAGCACTCATTTCATCCCCCCTTTTTTTTGAGAGAGGATCTCAGTCTGTCACCCATGCTGGAGTGCAGGGGTGCAACCATGGCTCACTGCAGCCTCAAACTCGGGTTCATGTCTCAGCCTCCCAAAGTGCTGAGATTACACGCATGAGCCCCCGTGCCTGGCCTCATTTCATTCTCTTAATCTTCTGAGGAAGGTACTACTAGCGGCCCCATTTTACAGTTGAGAATGAATTAGAAGTTCAGATGCTTTCTTTTTTTTTTTTTTTTTTGAGACGGAGTCTCGCTCTGTCGCCCAGGCAGATGCTTTCTTGCAGTCACACAGCTAGAAAGTGGTGGAGAGGATTCAAATCCAGGTCTAACTGCAAATTTTCTGCTCTTAACCATCGTGTAGCATAGGCTCTGACAGCTGTGACAGGCAGTGGTGGGGGGTTGTTTTGAAAGTCTCGCCATAGGCTGGGTGCAGTGGCTAACACCTGTAATCCCAGCACTTTGGGAGGCCCAGGCGGGGGGATCACCTGAGATCAGGAGTTCGAGACCAGCCTGGCCAACATGGTGAAACCCTGTCTCTACTAAAAATACAAAAATTAGCCAGGTGTGGTGGTGTGCACCTGTAATCCCAGCTACTCGGGAGGCTGAGGCAGGAGAATTGCTTGAACTCATGAGGTGGAGGCTGTAGTGAGCTGAGATCACACCACTGCACTCCAACATGGGTGACAGAGTGAGACTCCGTCTAAAAAAAAAAGTCTTGCCATATGTCTTTTCTGCCTCTTTCACACAGCCCCACAGGGCTTGGCAGCAGGAAAAGTGTGACCTAGGGCTATGGCAGTCACCCATGTGAGCTACAGCTATGGCTGCAACTTGGTGCAGCCTCTAACCATGAGGACTGGGAGTTTGGAGGGGCAAATTTAGGCCATTTTGTTTTCTTGAAATGCTTAAATTCATTCCCACGTCAATAAATGGCAGTTAGTTATTCGTGGTGGTGATGTCTAAAGACTAACAGGATTCCCAGATTCAGTGTTGGGAAAATCACCTTGAGTCCCCTTTTCAATGTGCTGGGGAGT